TTCAAACATTATCTGTATAAATAATGCAGAAATAAGTAATTCAGATAATCTTGTGAGTTTATAAGCCCTCCCATTTCTTGATATAGCTCATTAGGCCACAAAAAAGTCAAAAATAATTAGGGACATTTAGTAAGCTGATCATCTAGTTATTCAGTTAGATGTGTTTCGGCGCATAATTTTTCTGCATATTTACGCGGAGCGAACGCTGAATGAACTAATGACGAACTTGCCTTCATTTTACGATATTCATTTACTAATTTTCAGGTGCAGTTCTTAAGAGGCAATGTTGAAATCGCTATTTTAGACTTGTATCATCGGACAGCACAGCAGTGTCTTGCCCCATGAAAGTATTCTGAAAAACATTGAAACGATGTTGTTGCACAGCAGAGGTGAAACTCGGCATGAGAACAATGAGGAACCGACGTCGGACTCTTCATCAGCATTGATGGCCGGGTTTAAAGTACAAGAAAAACAACAAGCAAGGAACTGCACTTTACTCTCGAAAGACGTCACACATTCAATAATCTGCAAAGTCGTTCCTCAGCTTCTGAAATCAGAAAACTGGATAATTTTGCAACGGCATGGAAGCGAACGTCGCTGGAACCTGGGCAGTAAATTCTTCACAAACCAATATTAATAATAATTCTTCCGCGACAGGCAGTCTCTCATTACGAGAAGTGAGCAGCCTCTTAAGTGATGCAGAGAGAGAAGACCTTCGTCATCAGCATGGAGGACTTCAAACGTTTCTTCGAAATCAGCATCAACTCTTTATGGGTAAATGAGTAAATTTTGTCTTAAACAAACCAATTTTTCATCTGAAACTTTATTAGCAAAAGTTACTGCCATAAATTTACGTTGTTATGCGTTTAGTGCGTAATGGAACAGTTCAGTTGCGAAACTGGTCAGAGGAAGGAAGAAATGCGAAAGGAAATCGATCCAATACAAAACTTTGTCTGTTCTATAAATTTCATCCAAATGGGTGTCCCGTTGAAGATTCTTTGTGTTCTTATATTCATGAATAATTCACACATACGTAATAAATTTTGTATGACGTGCATTGTTTTAAATTTTAAAGCGTCATTCATTTAAGTTTCAGTAATTTTCCGTGAAATCGTTACATCTGTACGAAGCAGTAAAATGTGTCGTAAGAACTGAAGGATCAATGCTGATCAACATTAAACGATTCCGTTTGTCAAACAAGATATTCTGTGTTGCATTATTCAACATCGTAAATGACTTAATGAGGGTGAACGTTGCCCTAAGGAACGATGGAGTGACCGTCAGTCAAGAT